AAAGCTGATTTCCAAACCGCTGGAATTTCTTTGGTTTTAATTGAAAAATTAAATAGAATTGAGAGTGGTTCTGCAATAAAATCAGCTGCCATCTTCAAAAAATAAGGTTCCATCAAGTCTGGACCAGGAGGTTTTCTGTGATCCAAAGCCTTTAAAGCTTTATGCACTTCATAAACACTAAAAGGTACAAAGTTAAAACGGTCTCCAGAAAACATAGAGAGTTCTGGGCAAGTATTTGTTAAAAAGGTTTCTGCAGAAGCAAACAAGGAACCCACTGATAGAAAGTGTTCATTAAAACAATTCAAAATTTCAGTTTTATCATTAATTGAGACTGAATCTTTCACAACAGATTTAGGGAAGGTTTGAGTCATTTTATTGGCGGAAAGAGACTTGATTACTTTCCAAAATTTCTGTGGATTGGAGACTGGAGCGTGACTAAAGTTATTGCAACTGTGTGCAATGAACTTGCAATTTCACTGCCTCTGGAAAGGCTGCCTTGCAGTCAGGGACTAACTCTGGCAGCTTTGGAGCATCACATTGGCGACAAAGTCATGTGAACAACTTATTCAGAATCCAGCAGAACCTCAAAGATTTCAAACAGAAATTCAGAAATTCCTCGAGAAATAGTGATTCAGTTGCTACAGAACGATTAGCTGCAAAATGACATAGATGCTTGAAAACCTTGATCAAAAGCAGCCAGCAGTCAGTTCAATGAAATGTGCTGCAGACAAGCTCCGCTTATCAGCTGAGACTGACTCACTGTTAGCAATCTGTTTGTGTTTGTTAATGAGACTGATTATTGGCAACATTTCCCAATTTGTCTGCAAGTGACTGCAGATGGACGGCAGTTTTTCAGAGGCAGGTTGCCCCACCAATTGACCTGTGGAATTGTCTTGCAATCAGAAGTGGTTGTCCGAAGTTGAGGGTGTTGCATGCTCAATCTCTGGGCAACCAGTTGGCTCAACTATTTGCAATCAGTTTCCGACAGCATAACAAAACCCCCAACAACAGCTGCCTCAACACGCTTTATATAGGATAAAAAAAAAAACATTGAACAAATAGACAATGTGACAATAAACTGACATAGGACAGACACGCACACCAAGAGAAGACAGGAAGCAGGCAGAGGTACAGGTGGTACAGGCTAGCAACAAAAAGCAGAAAGTGAAATAAGAAACACGAAAAAATTAATCTTCAGTGTGAAAAAGAAAGTAAACAAAATAGGCTACATATGACTGAAACATGAAGGTGAGCAGTAAACATGATGACAGGGGAGCATAGAATGCATCATGGGTTAAAAAAAACTACAAACAAGAATAACTTTAAATTTAAATTCTTTAAACTTGGTTCAAAAGTAAAAGTAAAAAAGGGCAAATGTTATCATCTTTAGGTTATTACAAAGTTTTTCACTTCAACATAATTCGAAATCAAGGACTTAGGTTTACCCACTGAGCAATTTTCTTTTAATGAGAGGTCTAAAAGAGGTCTACTGGTAACTGTCAAGGCAAAATCAAGCTATATTCATAAGTGAAATTTTAATAAATGTCTAAATGTCTTTTGAAAAGCTTTTCACCTTTCATGCTTTCAAGTGTTAACACTGTTCAAATGGCTGGCATGGTTGACTAGGAGGGATACTGTTTCTGCCAATATGTAAAAGAAAGAACAAGTTTACAAGTATATATTTGCTTCACAGAAATCCTTGTTGTATGTGCTCATGTGTTCATGTGGATATTTACAGGGAACATCATGGGTTTAGGCCAGTGTTTGCTCTTTGGTTTGACTGCTGTAATCAGGAGGAAATTCTCAGCCAGTCACTTTTGGGATGACTGTGTCAAACACAACTGCACTGTGAGTACACACTGGTGCAATAACTGTGCCTAGCCACAGGCCAAATGTCCTATTGATTTTCTTGAGCCAGTTCTATAAACAAGACTTGCGATTCGGTTTTAGTGTGTAATTGTACCTGTGCGCACACATAGGTAATCCAGTATATAGGAGAGATCTG